TATAAAAGAAGATTCTGCTGAAGAGGAGATTATATTTTCTTGGGTGTACCAATTATAAGAGTTATTTCAAATTGTCCTGTTCTAACGTCGAGTGATAAACGATCGACCGGACGATTCGAGCTGGAATGAATAAATTTCGTATTTTTGTAATTAATAGGTGAGCTAGGTGAGGAATGTATCGGCCGATTGGACGACCTGTCGACGATTGCCAATGTTCCTTTCCGGGCCAGCACGATTCTAGTCGGCATCGCCGTCATAATAGCGCTGCTTGCAATCTGCGCGATGCTCATGTTCTTCTTCTGCCAGAGCACGACCGTTTTCTACATGTGCGCTTGGATGCAGGTTGTATCAGGTAATCGCGTTTCGCCTCGTAACAAGAAAAAGGGAGCAGAGAACGCGGAGAAAAACGTCGGTTTCTAAATTCTCTCACGGGAGAATTCTCTGAGCCGAGAGCGCATTGAGAGCGCGAAGGAGGCTCGCCGCGAAACACGATTAATGCCGGACACGCACATGTTTAAACGCCGTTTTAGAAAGTGCAACGCCGTGAACGAACCCGCCTGGCTGCGTTCTCGCGCCCCATTACTGCAATCTCGACCGTAATGTCTTATCAGCGAGATGCAATTGCAAATTGCAGCGACGCGCCGACAGCGGGCCGGAAAGTGACGCAATCGCTCCGCTTAACGCGCCTTTATTGCGGTGAACTTTATCGATCGGCCTCATCGTTGCCGCGTCGTGTGCCAACGAGACGATTTCCCGTGCGATACCGATTGTCGCCGGAAATCGCCCTCGTGTCACGGTCCCGTGATCGCCGAGAGATCGTCTCGCAAAAAGAGCGAGACGCAAGTCCGACGATCACGATCACGCGGAATCTGGACGCTCGCGGTGCATCGCGCTGCTCGAGCGGGAAAAAATCGCCGGCGCTATTTTTATTCGATTAGAAAGCGCATCGCGACCGCAGAGCCGATGTCTTGTGCAATGTCTGAAGTAATAATAATAGCGTAGCATCTCGCGAAAATAACCGTCTCGTCGATACGTGACGCACGCTCGGAGACGTCGGCGGAACCGTTGTACCGCGACCGTACGTGCAAGTTTTTTTCTAGTTTCTTCCCATCTTCATACGTGCGAACGCGGAGAGAATACATAACTTCTTTTCATTTAAATTCCTTTCAATTTTATCATGTTTCTAACAATGCAGGAATAGACACTGTGAATGAAGTATATCTTACTGAGGAACACACAAAGTTCCGTTAGAAACATAGCAAAATTTTCAGTATCACATTTTTTTTCACAGTTCCCAAAACAGCACACATAAAATGAAAGGATAATAAATTATTGCTGAATGTCGGTGAAATTATTGTTACCCTTGGTTACAAAATTGTAAATGTTTCCTATAAATTTCTCTCCACGTACACGGAGAGACGCTTTAAGTTGTAGAAAAAATAACAAAAGTAAAAATACGCAGATGTGTCACATTTCGATTCAGCGGATCGCCTGGCGAACTTTGCGAGTGGAAGCGACAACGTGCCAGCTTCCACAATTCCGGCATCGCGATACTTTCTCCAGATAACACGCATTACCAGCGCGAGTGTGAAGCGTTTCCGTGTCGCGACGTCTAAGCGATCGCACCTCGTTATCAGGGGAATTCGTTTCAGCGGACGCGAAAACGCTCTCTCGGCACGCTGCATCGCGCTGCACCGCGTCTCAAGATGAGACGCGTGTATAGCATATAAGAACGTGTCGCGTGGCATCTCGTACGCGAGACGTTCCTCCTTTTGCAATTGTAATCAGCGTTATCGTCGCCGTCCGGATCGCCGACGACGAGTCGCCTGACAGCGAAATGTAGAATAGACCGTTATAGTGCCCGGCCGCGTATATACCGTTCGTCAACGCCTCTCTATGATTAACACACCGGCCACAGCTGCATTCGCTGTCCGCCGAGCCGATATCGCCGGGACAGCTTTATCCGATTACCGCGCTCGATTTTGCTAGTACGCATGCGAAATGTATCCCGCACTCCGATAACTCACGCAATTAATGCCGACACACTTAGCCCGCTCGCTGATAAGACGCGCCGCACGATTCACAGCGACGTATGCAGATCGAGAGCGCTTTATGTGTTACGTGTATGTGTATATATTGTTCGCGCATTTAACTAATGCACGATACTCGGTCGGCCGTCAGTCTTTCTGTAAAATAAATCGCCCGTCGCATACACTATCGCACGCTACATTCGCAAAATTATGTAGCGCTCATTGCAAAATAACGACCGTCGCGTTTGTTTCAAGCTCAGCTTGCGTAAGCCTAATTACACACGGTAACCAAGTTTTGAATTGTCAGCGACTCCTCGCACAAGTCGGAATTATACACGACGGCTCAGACCGCGACAGTGAAAGTTCCATGGACGGAATCACGCCTGATACACGGCGCGAAGCGTGAAGAGAATAAAATCGAGACAGAGAGAAAAGGAGAAATGAGACGTTTCACCGCGCGTGTAATAAAATTTAACGGGGCTCCACGCGCGAAAAGGCAACGTCAAAGTACGCGTTTCGTGCGTTGAAATCACTCGCCGGGAAACAATATGCCGCAACTCGTGGAAAACGCCTAGCGGGTCACAGAAAAGTTACGGTTGCTCCAAGTCCCTTTCACTACCGGCCTCGCGTAACCTCCTGCACAACATCCGTGTGCGCGGAGGTATCGTGCGTAAATGTGCACGGTATCCACGCCCTGGCGGATGCAAACGATAGAACCATAAGGAAGTTCGCGCGGCGTGTTATTAAGGTATCCGGCCTGTCGCCGGCGATAAATCATCGAGCAATTGCCGCTTGCGGTATATATCGTTAAATTCTCCTTGCGGATTACGTCTGCGGGATGTAATTACCTCGAGGGAGCGAGATAAAAGTCCTACGCAGCGCGATCTCTTGCTCCAACAATGTTGTCTCGACTGACAACACGTCGCACTTGTAACCGAATATGCCCTTCTTACGCAACGAGAGTAACACTCCGTTTTTGTTCTCAGGAATCTGCATGGCCGTCGGAGTGTTCGTTTACCCACTCGGCTGGGACTCGCCGGTGATTCGCGCTGTGTGCGGCGCGGCCGCGTCCAGGTGTGTATTTCTTGCGGCGTGTGCAAAATATCGCTAACAAGGAAATATCTTATGCCTGAATTTATCTTTCTGAAAACTGTCGTTTATCAGAAACGTAAATTGTGGTCTTCTAAGATACAAAAGAGTTTCATTTCTTGAGACTAACTCGGTCTTTCCTCAGCGAGAAACTGAAAGTTGTGAGAAAGCGAAAAATTGAAAGAAAATCTTGTCGCTGATTTGTCCCTTCAAGCTTTCATTCGTGAGAATTGTGTTATCTTCTGTCTACAGACAGAACTAAGGTCTTTACTTTGAATTCTCTTTTGTTGATCAAAGTGCTTTTAAAGACTTGTAAGTCTTTTAATTGCATTATAAGCATATTTCGAGAGAGACACTTTTATCGGTAAAAGAGAATTAAGAATAAGAACCATAGTGGTGCCAACTATAAAGATGTGAAAATATAAGTTTTGTATGTGGATAAGATTAAATTTAAGTCTAATTAAGTTTGAACAAATTTAAATAATTAATTTAAATTAATGTATATAAATTAATAAACTGTTTTGTAGTTACACACACTGCAACTCTGAAACTAAGTTGTTATAGGAACTACGTAGTTCTCGTTCAGCTTGTAATAACTACGAAATAATTGATTTCAAACTATATATATATATATATATATATATATATATATATATATATATATATATATATATATTATATATTATTTTTCTACGTACAAAACTCAGAGTTGTCACCTATATAGTTTCCACCACCTACCTATGTAGTTGCCTCTTTTTCTTTTTTGAATGCGGTGATAAAGAACTTTCCCTAAGAAAAGACAGTACATTCACCGAATAGTCTACGCCGCAAAGGAAGTTCTCACCTTCCTCTAAGACTTCCCGCACAAGCTATCAATTACCGTCGAATATGTCTCGCGCGAGCACGCTCTTGCTGCTGCATCGAGCTTCTCTCGGTCGACGATGCCTTTCACACGTAAATTATTGGCGCGGCGCGATAACTAACAGTAAAATTGCAATCGCCCGATTTCCATCGCGATGAACGACGAAGAACGTGAGAAGCGCGGCAATTAAGAGGCCATTCTTCCGACAGATACAATCCCGGCGCCTGTGCCGTGAGATGGGCGATACCGCTGGCTGCGATCGCGGCTCTGGACGCGGGCACCTTGGCTGCCCTTGCCTTTATATTGGCCTCCAGACACGTGAGGCTCCAGCCGGAACCGTTCAACAATGGATCCTTGTACAAAGGTAACGGGTGGCACTCCGTTAATTCCCATGCGACATCAGTGTCGCACGCTCATATGACTCTCTCTTCTTAATAAATAATAAATACAATCAACAAAATCGCTCTTTTCAGGCGAGGTGAATCCGGGCTACGTCAACGAAGCGCAGAGCGTAGCCGGCTCTCGCAAGTCCTTGTCGCTAAGGCCGGTCCTCCTGGTGGCACCGCCAGAACAGGACCGCTACAGCGAGCTCTCCAGGGCGAAGTCGCACTCGCACCACAGCCTCTACACACCGGCCCCGTCGCACCCAGTGCACACCATGTCCACGAATACTCTCAATCACTCACAGCACAACTTCCAGCTCTGAGACTGAGTTTTGACACCGTCGCGACACGGAGATCAAGTGGGCCCGCTGTACATAGCTCGCGAGGAGCAGCGATACCGTGTACATAAGTGTGAAACGGTAGGGAGTCGTGCGTGAAGAAGACTCTAGGTCTGCACGGTGGTTGAGTGCAGCCGTGACATGAGCCACTTGTGGGTGTTGAGTCGCGACGTATGAGAAAAACGCGACCGAATCGCTCGTCGATGATCGTTATCTCGTTTCTGTGCCGTGAATATTTTTATCCTAACTGTAGGTATGTATTTGGCGTATCTCGTCGACACGGTGTCGAAGAGAGATGTGTTTTCCGTATGCTACTGACTAATATATCTTGAATATATACGATTATCGTTGCAACTGAAACGATGACTGCACGCATAATATCACGTATCAGTCATATCGATAGTCGCTCGATAACGTCGATTTATGAAACGTTTTCTTTATTACTAGGAAACGAAATATTTTTCTACTTAAATTCTCTCTTAAATCTATTCCAAGAATATATATATATATATATATATATATATATATATATCTCATATTTGTATTTATATATTAATATATATATATATGTTTATGTACATGTAACTTTACATTTTACTTAAGCGACTTCGTACACTCTCGAGAATTGTATATTAGATCCTCTCTCTAAACGCGTGGTGCTACACAAGATAAACGACGATTTGCATCGGAGAATTACTCTAGAAATTTTATAAACAATCCGTGCCGTATTATCGGAGCAGTATATCAATCACGTTGTATAATTATGTAAGATTCCAACTACTCAATGACGTGCCTTCACGATGTAGTGTTGAGAATAGTTTTGAATTAATAATAAGATAAATCTTTTTACCACGAGAACACGCCACTTTGCGAATGTTTTGCGTACTGATGACGGTACGCATGATGCCGCGACCAACTCGACCGAATGATGTAAACAAGTGAGATTTATTTAAAAAGATCCTCGTCCTTTTCTCCGTCGAATAAGACTCGAGGATTATTCGCGGTGATTGTTCGATCGTAAAAGTCGTCGGGGATTACGATGACGTCGGTCACGTATGCGCGCACTTCGGTGCGCGACCATTTCTGCATCACCGACGCGGTGCATAAAACATGCTAAACGCAAAGATGTGCGGTATGCAAACACGGTACACGTATCATTTTGACTAGTGTATTTTTAATGATATCGTACAGGACAAGTTTATTACGAGTATTATTTAGGCGATAATTCGCGTGATCCGCGCGACGGTCTCTTAGGTCTGCAAAGGCAATATTTAACGTGACAACACAGATCGTTCATAACGATCCTTCAATCGCAGTTTAATCCCGCCCTTGTCTTTTTTTTATATCCTATTAATTCTACTTCTAAAGAGGAAGTGTGTGTAGGAGATAAAGGATCGCTTGTTTTTTTTCTTCTCTTCAAGTCGTTTGGAGATCCGCGGGACTGTTCGGCCGCAAGTATTATTGTACAAGACTATTTTCCTAATTATCAGAGACCTCTACATGAGAAATAGGGAGAGCATTCTGCGCGATTGTCGAAGCCTTATCGATTCAAATCGCCTTCGATACTCGACGTAACGGTAAATACGCGAGCCGGGTAATTTTGTAATGTTTTCTTTTTGACAAAATAAAATGGTAAACGCGCGTCTCTCATCACGAATAACGTGACGCACAGAATGCTCGCACCAGCGCGCGCGTATTTTATACGGTAAAATACGCGCTCGCACTTCGCGGTGTGCCTAAGTCTAAAATAAATATTTCAGGCGAGAATGTCTACGAGTAACCGGTCTCTCTCTTCCTCGGGACGCGTCTCATACTTACCTTAAGTTCTAATAATCTCCTTATATGGCAAAAAAGGGAAGCTTGAGCGTGGTGAATGGCTTCCGCTCGTGAACCAGCTGATGCTGATGCACAGAGGGTGTATCTCGGAGTGTTCCCCGCGCGTGTTTCCCTTGACCCGCGGGCTTTCGATTCGAAAGCAGTACTGGACGTTGATCGATGCAAATTTCCTTTCACTAAAATAATAATCGGTTAATCAATCAAAATTAATCAATCGTTATGTGGAAAATAATCTCATCGTTTGATGAAACTAATTATTAATCGAATTTGACTGTACTGACTGATTAATAATTAATTTCATCAATGAAATTACTTGTAATTTTGTAAGACGATTGGCTAATTTTGGTGATTGACTTGCCGATTATGTTAGCCAAAGACAATTTTCGTCGATTAACGATTCAACACTGTTCGAAGGGGATGTTACGCGAACGCGAGTAATCGTGAGAAACGAGCGTGAATTCGGTCGCACTTTGACGGCTCTTGTAGATCGAGAACGCCAACACGAAATAGCGCGGGTATGCAATCGACGAGTAGGCTATCGTGAGAGCAACACGAGCAAATCGTTCGACATTAAAGCACTAACGTTTTATAGTGCATTAATTAGTCTGCGATGAGGAACGAGATACAGAGGTTTACAACGTTGTAAACGCAAACGCGGGGGGCAAGAGAGGCGGGACAGAGGTGGGAAGGACAGCCCTACCGGGCGCTCGTCGGTAACGTCGGTATTTAATTCCCTTTTTACGCGAGCGATGTATCGTCGTATTTTACAAGGTATACACACGGCGTGTCCGCGTATGACACCCTCGGCCAAACCGTTTATGGCTTTACTGCGCCGCCGCCGTGGCGGCGGCGGCGGCGGCAACGACTCACGTGTATATTCCATCCGCGCGTGCTTTACAGCCGTTTGTTTATTAGGCTCTCGTTTAATTGCCCGATCTGCGTGGCGCATAACGGCATTGCGTGGCTATTTTCACCGAGCTCTAAAGTGCGAACACCTGAATGGAGGCGGACGCGTAATCGCCCGTACGACGTGGCGCGCGAGAAGGATTCGCGGCGGACGTTCCGAAAGAGATGTCGAATTTAATCGGCTACTTGAGCTCGAACAAGAGACAATCATCAAAATGCTTGCCGTTCGTTAACTTTCGTCAAGCATAACATCGCCTTTTTCGCCCCCTTCCTCACTGGCGTTTCCTACATGGGTGCAAAGTTACGTGTCGATTGAATCCTTGAGAAGAAGAGAGAGAGACGCGTGCAAATGTCGAATTTTATTGCCCGGTGTATCCTGAAAGCGTTGAATTTATGGCGTTATATTAAGGTGATAATTACGCGAGTCGCGCATCGTCGGAGGACCGGCAACGTTAATTGATATTTCATCGCGCGGCGAGTCGACGAACCGCCATTCGAGATAAGTCAGCGAAAGTAACGGACAACTTTTCCCGCTGCTCGTGTGCATCCTAATACTGACAATTTCGATTACTCATAATACATGATCATAGAAATATCCGGGTTATACCAACAGCACTAGTGGATACTCTTTCTCTCTTTTTCTCAGAGTTCTGAAACGTTCAACGGTTGTGTGTTGATTCAGCGCGAAACGGCGGTCAGGATTAGCGACTCGCGGAACGGAACAAGTGAAAATAATTTAATTATAAGTTAACTTACATAGGGATTACGTATACTTCACTACGTTACCATCGACAGTACATCGTCGATCCTACCGTTACGTATGGCTGACGCACCGCCTCGTTTCACTTTGTAAAACGTTCGCGTCCACCCCAGCGGAGCGACTGAAGCATTCGCTCGTTTTAGCGCTCTGCTCTTTTAATCTCTATCAAACTCCTACGCTTACTCGATACTCTAGTTAAACATCTAAGACATTCGCTACTCTCACTGTACCCGCGATGGCTACTCGTCGGGGGTGCGAAGAACGACTTTCGAGTCGCGCGAGCCTTTCTTCGCACCTTTAGCGTTAACACTACACACATACCTACAGTCCAGGATGTACGCCCACCGCACCACGTGCAATGTTTTCACCGTCAACAAATGCCGATAGCTCGATGCTTCGCGCAAGTAAAACATGAGCTTCAAACCTGATGTTCCTCGCGTGACGATCGATGTCTTAGATCTTACATCTCCTTGCTGACGACGATACCGCAGGGCTGCACCACTCCGACGTTAGGCAATCGCGGCCTCTTGGGCGTGGACCTGCTCTCGTCCTTTTTCAGAAGCTCCTCTATCGAGTAGGGGTTCTTCTTCTTCTGTGGCGGCTGATTCTCCGCCGCCGATGCCGTCGCCTCGTTCGTCGTCGTCATCATCGTACTCGAGCCGCTGTTCTTCATCTCGAAGATCCTGTGCGACTGCGTTGGGTCTTGCCGGCTCGCGTCGACGATAGACACCGGACTCTCCCGAGCGTTATCCAGATTCACGGCCGAATTGGGCGTGCCGTGCCTGACGAACGCGCTCCGGTCGCTCCCGATTTTCTGACTGAGCTCTAGGATGATCGGCGTGTTCCGGAAGGACTTGTAGTGCTCTTGCGACTCAATGTTCTCGTCCAAATCACTTTTGTCCAGGGAGTCGTCGCTGCCAGCCGTCGAGCTCGAGCTCGACTTGAGCTCGAGCTGACTCTGCGCGCCGTTTTGCTCCGACAGACGTTCGGCGTCCAAGGGTCTGCGAACACAAATTTACGAGGTCGCGTCTGATATCATTGTACTTTTTTTGCGCGAGTCTCGTTCAAGAACTCATTCTTCTTTTCTCGAGATTAAAGGGTCTGACTTACGCGAATGACTGCATTCCGTGATGCAAGTGCAGGGTCGTCGCCTGATAGAGGGACGAGTAGAAGCTCTGATTCCACGACGGCGTGCTGGTATTACTGGTGTTTGCAGAGATATGCAAAGGCCCTAACGCCCCCGAATAGAACAGCTGATAATCTGTTCTCATGAGCGCATCTGGAAAAGACGAATCACGTCCGTTTTCATTGTGGTCTTCGATTTGCTTTCGGGGAGCTCTGTGGAAGAGAACTTTTTCAGGAATCATCGTGGTCGTCACGTTAATAAAGGGAAATTTACTGAAAATAGCCGGATATTTTGCCCCTTTTTTCTTTTATATGACACTCGTGGAGCTAATAAAGAAAGAACAACGTCGTTAAAAATAAGGAGTGGAATTAAAGACAGGGTCTAATCGCGCGAGGCTATTGATCGCGGTCGAAAAGAGGTCCTTTTTTTCGATGGCACAATTGGGAGAGGATCCACTCTCATCTTGAAGAAGCTGTCAAGGGACGTCAATGCTCGTATTCTTTCCCCCTTTCCGTGCAGAATTTAATCGCCGTATAAGTAGATCCTCTGCCATGCGTGCGGTGCATACGTTATTTTTTATTCGCTATAACAGACGGAATCTGTTCGGAGTTAACTCAAAGCATATGGACTTGAGCGATAATTCGCGCTGATTAGAAGTATCGAATGTGTCTCGATCTCGAGGCTGCTGGTTTGCAAATAAGCTATTGATACTCGATTATTCGCTCGCGTTTCCTAACGTTCTTATTGCTAACGTCCTTATTTTTCGCTATTCTACACGCGTGTATCGTCACGAAAACAGACATGTAGACGTGGACTGTCACTCGCGACGAGTAATGATTTAAAATAAAGATGAAGATGAGACGCATGCTCGTTTTACAATTAGCTGCTCAAAGCCGGTAAATTGAGCAGCGCTCCCAGCAGCATCCAGCGGCACAAATTGCGAGGCAAATTTTCCGTTTCGACGGCGGCGACGGCAGCGGGGGGTTGCGTGTCTGATGCCCTGGCGTGGCTTTCGCTGACGAGTCAATCACGGCAACGGGGTGTCTCGAAATCTGCCCTCTTCGTTCTCTTCGTCCTCTCTGCCCCCTGCCCTTATCCCCTGTCCGAATCCCTCATCCCATCGCTCTTGTCACGAGCATTCTCTCTCTTCCTCTCTCTTACTCTTTCTTTTCTCTCTCTCTCTCTCTCTCTCTCTCTCTCTCTCTCTTTCTCTGCCTATTCTTCTTCTTCAGAGCGCTGGCTTTCGTATTTTTGGACATTTATCGTCTTTCTTTTGGAAATAACGTAAAAAACGATCCGTCGCCGCAGAGAGCAATTCCACGCTAGGGACAGGTGTTTAGGGCATCATTAGTCTGTAATGGTGCACTCGCGACCTAGCCTCAGCTGGTACATAATGGCCATAATGGTACGAAGCGAAAATATGCGCCCGCATCTCTCCCGTTCGCCCGCTTTCTCCCGCTCCGCCTTGAGATCGCGAGATTTCGAATTTTTCTCGTCTCGGCTTAGAAGCCGCGATAGGTCTACATGTTGGCCTGATGCCGGACGAGGTTGTCGTCCTTTTCTTTTCCTTTCTTTTTACTCTCTCTTGCTTAAAACTACACACATGTCGTAAACTACAAACTATAAGCTCACCTCTGGTGTTCGAAGGGATTTGCGAAGCATATCCGCCAGATGTGCCGCCTTCGATGGCAGGAAGATCGGTGTGTAGGCCGCCGCCTCTCAAGATGCGATTGACCGACGACACGGAGGGTAAGCTCTGTGGATCGCAAGCTCCCTGTCGCGCGAGCTGCTCACGGATCTCCCAGGCGAACATCGTCGGCTGCTCCTGCTTCATTCGCAGGATCTTCTTGACCACCGTGGGCGTAGCTACTTGCTGAAACGATGGAAAAGTAGGTCATGAAAGCGCGCGACAACGTCTCGAGACCTTCAAGCCTTTTCATCCTTTCGTGATCGCGCAAGGAGGAACTCGCGTTCCACGCGTAGTGCATCAGTTAACGCGGTCGGCGTTTTATCCACGAAAGAAGCGCTTCTCGTCGCGATTCATAACGCTCGTGTGCGGCTTCCGTGAAGATGTTTATCAGTGTCGGGATGCCGTTGTTAATCGCATCGTCGCGAATCGTCTCGTTCTTCTTTCCCTCTGCTCATCTTTTTATGACCAAGCCGCGCGTTATCTCATCGGCAAATTAACGCGAACGCTCGGCCGCACTGTCGTCGGTCGAGAGCACGGGTCGCACGCGCATATGTCGTTCACAGGTGAAGAGCGCGGGGTCGTCAATCAGATAGCGAGAGAGAGAGTCCGGTGGTAGGTGGAAGTCTACCTTGTTTCATATTTCGGTGTTAGTCCCCGGTTCACCTGGGTGCACCGAGGGTACGAACGGGTTGGTCGGTCAGTTGGTAGCATTCGCGCCGGTGCCGTTGCCTGCCACGGGGCCTGCCACCGCTCGTACCCCAAAAGCGGACCCCAGTGGTGCTCAATCTGGCCGCGGCCAATTTGACTTGCTAATGAACGGTAATGGCACGCGGATAATTTTATGCTAACGCGATGGAAATGTTATTCGGCCCGTACAGATTTCGAGATCGCCGATCTCTTTGAGGGACGACGGCGGTGCGGTGCGAGCGAGATGCACCGATCGCCGGCGAAAGGTGATCATCTTCCTTGCCTGAGCCTGCGCAGGGGTCCGTGTTTTTCTCCCTTTCTCTCTGTCGCTCGCGTAGGTATGTATCGCCGAACGGAACGGTATCACCGAACCTGTCGACTGCACCGAGATCCCATTTCGCGTCCTCGACGTTTTGCGCGTCGGTAATCTGTACCCGCGGTCGCGTGGGTCTGATACGATCTCTCGGCAAATTGTCGTTTGGAAGAAGAATGGGATAAGTGTCGATGTGGAGAACAATGATCGAACACAATTTCCATGAAGGCAGGCGGAGAACGTTAAGAAGAAAAGGGATAGGGAAGAAGAAGAAGAAGAGAGAGAGAGAGAGAGAGAGAGAGAGAGAGAGAGA